AATCAGCTTCCGCGATTTATCTTTTTATTTCACCTTTATAAGTTATTTTTTGGTTTGCGATTAGAAAGACTCGAGCTACATGTAAGTTTCAGCGGGCATTGCGCTCGAAGAAAGAAAAGGCTAGAAGCCGAAGAGGCCCGGCAAACTGCCACGAAGAGGGTCACAACAAATGGTTTCTCATCCTCTGGATCATTTAAATAATTTCAGAGCATGGGACGTCATTCTTGTTACTACTTTGTCACTATGCTCTTTCAGTATTTGTAGTATGTAGTTGTAGTATCTTTTTTGTTCATCATCACATTGGGCAAATCGCGATTTTTTTTATTATTGCGAGGAATAAATGACGGTTTGTATTAGAGTTGCGAAATAATCAAGATTTCACGGTCTTAATTAGAGTTTCGAATGAATGTTGATTTCGGGTTGAACTAGAGATGCCAAAGAATATTTATTTCGGTTTGTAGTAAATTTGTGGCATAATGTTTGATGATCATATTTGTTTTATGATTAGTTTTGCGAATTATAAGATAATATTTTTTATTATAAATTAGTTGATCATAAATTTTTTAATAATAATATTAGAATTTCCCTTCTTTTATATTTTGAATATTGAATTTAAAAAATGTTTACTTTCAATTTTATAGTGTTGCGATTTATAGCCATCGTGAATAATTCACTTTTTCTTATTAGTTTATTGAATTCACTTTAAAAATTAGTGTTGCGATTCTGTTTATCGGGATTGTTTTCATTACTTCTTTATATAGTGTTGCGTTTATAAAATGCCCATGCTTTTTCCACTGAGATTGTGGAAATATGTTCCTGAATCACTTGAGGCAGCTAAAATAGCTGTACAGAGCTGCCTTCAGCATGACTACGCTGGATCATTGTACTCGCAGTTAGTGTTGCGAATATTCAAATATGAGTGCTTAAATTAATATTTATTTAGTATTGCGTGAATAAAATATGTTATTATAGTTCCGGGAGATCTCTATTCTTTTCCTTTTTTTAAAAATAGTAAATTAATTAATGCAAAAACGTGTAAAGCACTCTTCGCGATTTATTTGAAGAATTTTCTCTTTCTTTGAGAATCTGATTTTATTACGAAAGATATTCTATTCTTGATTTATTGTCTGAGTTTATATTGAATGGATAGTAATTATATTTTGATAGCCCTTCTGGCTAGTTACTACTTAAAAAATCTCATGTCCTATATTATATCATATTGAGCGGTTAATGATAGCGATTATATTTTAATAGTCTTTAGAGCTATCCATTTGTTTTCTTTTCAAGGAATTGTCAGTACAAAAGGCTATAAATTTTATTAAATTTTCTATGATTTAAGTTTGTTTCAGAAACCATTCTGACATCAATAGAAGAGGATTCGTATCTTACATCATGTCCGATACAATATTTTATTCCTTCTATCTATCTCCATTTCATTTCCAAATTTTTTTTAAAACATATGACGGGCGAAATAAAAATTTAGTGCAGTTTATGAATTAATGATTAGCAAAGAATTTCTTTCCAATAATATTCGAGATTTGATAATCTTAATTTAACTGAAATCATTGAAATTTTGAAATTCGCGTTAGAATTTGAGTTAGAAGAATTTTTTGAAGTCAGTTATTTTATTCTTTCTGTTTCAAATTTTTATTTTACATTCCACGATTCACGATCACGATCACCTTAAAGTGACAGGAGATAAATATATTTGGATAAAACTAATATAATTTAGGAGTGAATTTTTTATTTAATGTTTATTTGAAAACTTTTTTAAATATTTAAATGAATCAATGAAGGGCTAAGTAGAAAGTGATATTTTCACAAAATTGGTAATTGGTAAGGTAGTACTCTATGACTTGGTGTTCTAGATGGTAATGCTAGTGAACTACTTTCTGCATTACCTGCATTTGAATTGGAAGGTATGATAACAGCATGATAACAGAAGGTATGATAACAGATGGCTCTGAGCATACCACGCCGAATATAAAAATTTAATTTGTTATATCTTTATTGTAATCATTTTCCTTCGTAGCATTAAACTATCATTTATATGTTCACGAAAATATAATTGTCTATCAATTAACTGAAATATATTGCATTTTAAAGCAAATATTGCACAAGTCACAACATGGAGATAATATTAAGTAATTTCTTTACTTTCTATATACCTTATAGTATAAATTAGTTTGTTAATATAAATGTTTGCAGAGTTGTAAAATGAGGTACATTAGTTTTCCCATTAAGGATTAGATTATTAAAAATACCATGTCATTATTCCGATAGTAGTTCCGACTTGTAGTTTAGAAAATTGTGGGAGAATTAAAATTTAAAATATGTTCACATCAATTTTGAACAAAAATCCCGCTATAATTGCAATTTTCTTTTTACGATCAGTTTTTAATCTAAAAGAATTCGCAAGTGTAATCAGTAATCAAATTTATTAGTTTCTATTGTCTTGGGGAGCGAAATTCTTTTCCGATTTTATGGCGTGGAAAGACGATATAATAAGGAGAGAGCCGCCTCGAGCGAAGCTGCAAGTAACGAGGGAATAAGAATGGCTAGGCAGCTAGGGGTGAGTTTAGCGATGGTACGGGTAGGTGGTTCAGGGTACAAGATTTAGTGGACTCGCTAGTAGCCGCTAACTTTGCAAGCTACGTCTTCTTGAAAATATTAAAGCAATGTACCGTGAATTCGAATAAGTTTTTCCAAATGGAAGTATCATTTCACATTTTTAGTACTACAAAGTCTATTAGTAAAATCCGTTTAAACTCTGCTACAGGATAGAATTGAAAATGAAAAAATGTTACAGTCAGAGTCGACTTAGATTCGATTTATGCTTCAGAAAAAAGAAACTGTTGACTCAGCAGTATGCATATATTGTAATAAAAATAAATATTCCAAGTGTATACAGGATAGGGTGGTAAAGTATGAGAAAGGAGATAGAAACAGGAGATAGATAGAAGGTACTACGACATCGTTCCCCACGTGTATGTTCCATAACGATATATAAAAGCCAATATATTTCAGAATAAATCGTTTTTTATTTCTGTAGTCTTGTGGTACATACATATGTCAACGACCCATAAACTTGATGGCAACTAGCAGAAGGTACTATAATTTTCTAATTTTTATTCGTTTTTATTCTATCATGGATTTCTAATAGAAAATTTAATATTTATTTGCCATCTCTTGTCGTAGATAACTCAAGCATAGAGTGAAAAAAATTCTACACAAAAGTGCAAACACAAATCTTGCGGCCGTTTCGGACAGTTTAATTCCAAGATCTGGATAATGGATCCCCGGATGTACTCTCAGGATTGCTCTTCCGTGAGTCTGAGTCTATCTTTATTTCTATTTCTCACGACATCGATACATTTGTACATTTTGCGGAATGAACAAATTCACTGATATATTAAAATTCCTTTAATATTTCATTTATTATAATTTCACAAATTTATTCCGTTATATCACATGTCACAAGCAAAAGTATTTGCTACAATACTTTTTTAAACATATTTGTTCAATTTTACCTAATTTCAACACCATTTTTTTTTCAGTTTATAGCATATTAAGGCAATTGGCATGATATTTAATTTGACGACGAAATTTAATCAATTCTTATAATTTTATCTATTGACTAACAATATTTATAAAAATTCAGGGTTAAAAACAAACCGTATGATTGAACGGACACGTTTGCGTAGAAAAAGGTACACGTAGATAGGCAATGATCTGTTTTAGCGTTCAGACGGAGGTCAGGATTTTCAGGAGCGTATAATTAATTTCCCATGTCACTCGGAGCCCTTTCCCTTGCTCTTCCTCGATCTGCCCCACGCAAATCCCCCGAACCACGACGACAATATTGCTGGCCATTTCGTTCGACAGTGCCCAAGCGCCTCAGTAGTTCTCCTCCGTTCCCGAACCCCTTTTCGCAGCTAACCCCACGCAGAGAAAGGGGTGACTTTACGAACAAGCATCTAGCACCGATCTCCCACCCTCCGTCCTCTTTCCGATCTAACGATTCTTCCTTTTCTATCCTCCACATACCGACCCGTCAATTTCAGTTTCCGTAATTAAACATAACAGATCAACATTCGACATTACGTAACCGGAGTTTCCTCGTTTTCTATACGGACGCGTATCTATTATTGGTACAACTCGAGCGCCAAAGCGTGCGCATCGTCTATATAGGTATCCGAACGATCTCCTGACCCCTGGTTACTCAACTCGAATCGGTTAATTGGATAAATGTCCGATGAACGCCAGGCCATCTCTCCCCCAAGTCCTCCTATACTCCGTCGTCTCCACCTCCTTCTCTTACTCCTTCTGCCATTCTCGGAGTGCCATTTCGTCGGGTTATTTCCCCCTTTTACTCATTTCCGCCTCTGTCCTTATCAGGCTCATTGGGAAAACAATCACTTGTTCCGCAGAGATGAATTTATCGAAGCACACTGTTTTTTTTTTTTTTTTTTTTTCTTTTCGTTGAATATTGCTCGAGAGCAAAGGGGTGGATCGACAGAATTAGCTTAGCATTCTTCGTTTCTTCCAAGCACGGCTTGCAACGACGCCGGTGGAATTTCAGTTTTTCAATCAGTCAATTCTTCTTCTTCTTTTTTTTTTCTGTGTAGAGAATAATTTATACGTATCTCTAAACATTTCACTGGCGTTCTTATATTTTTACTTTCTTCATCGGCACGTGTCGCAATACGGAATGAAAATGAATTGAAAGTGTCCCTTGGCAACCACCGTAACTATCTTTAATTAATAGCGACGAAGTTTCCGAATTAGCTAAAGAACTCTAATCGCGTATATATCTATTTATTTTACGATCCCTTTGGTGACGGGTCTCACGGAATATTGCATTTCCAGTTTCCGCAAACCATCTCTCTTCATTTGTCTCCTTCTGACATCGACTTCACCCTTGGATTCTATAATCAGTTTACAGTATAGTCTCATTACACGATTTACATTATTAATTCCGCGCGTACTTTCATTATTTATCGTTGAAAGCAGACAGTCGTTTCGTTGTCCATTGATTACTAATTGCAAGGTATCTGCTTTACTTGTAATTATGCGCGAATCAATTATTTGGCCAGCGTGTATCGAAAATTCGTTTCGAATATCTTATTTAAACGAATCCGACACAGTTCCAAGGAGCGTATTTATATTTTAGATTTCCTTTCCTCGTCGTATAACATCTGGCGACCGTTCAAAATTAGGGTTTCGAGCATAGATTAGGATGCGTCGTATTCACATGCTGGCGGCACTTCTTAGTGGCAACGACGGCAAATAAGGCAGTCAGATTCTAATTGCTTGTCATAAATCAAGGACAGCACCTGCACAATTTCGAAATGTTTATGGGGCGGTGCTGTTACATCCTTCATTAGGATGAAGTACAGATGAAACGACATTCTGATTCGAGTTTAATTGATACCCAATTAGATTAATATCGTTAATTGCGCTTCGAAAGTGAAACAGCTACTTGGCTGATGTCGTCTGGTATATATATATGTATACATATATACCTACAGCATTAGGATCTGTTCTCAGTTCTTCTGCTGTTAAACTCAAGATACTGTTTCGACCGTAGAATTCAATTAAAAGAGGGAAAATTATATATCTTCGCTTATCTATCTCCGAGAAACGGAGTGGTTGCGATGAAAAAAGTTACAGGGGATTCGAATCTCATCGTCGTCTTCCTGTAGGGTAGCGAATCAACGTGGAATTAGAGCCGAAGACACGAGGAGAGGCAGAGATTAGTGGATACGCAAATTAGAGCGCGGCCGTGCTATTTGTCATTTTTGTCGCGTTAGTCTGTTAGGGATACAGAGAAACAGGGAGAAAGCGTTATATAACGAAGGGGGTGAAGTGAAAGTTTCAATTATGTCATCGTGGACGGTGACACGGTAACAGATAAATTCATGTCTTTTGGCGATGTTGCGCCGCGATTAGTGTTCGTGGTATTTACGTTCACGAATAATGTCGCTTAAAAGTTTCAACGCCTAACATCGGAGTAGTTATCTTTTAACATGGCCGCGGCAAACTGGATCGTGTACGTTTAGCTGGCAATGCTCCAGTGTACATTTCTTCTTGTTACATAATTGAGCGGTTGGGATAAAAATGTGACGTTTATGAAACAGCCCGGTAGTATTTGCATCGTTAAAACTCCACTGGCGAAATATAACGTTATCGAGCAAATGAAAGACTTCTTCTTCTTGGATGAAGAATAAACTGAGAAAATGAAACACGAGGGTGGAAGAAGGAGGATAGAATGGAAGGAAGATAAAGTGCAACCCTCCCGCCAATAATATGCCGACAAGCTTTATTTTATTTAAGCAGCCCCAGTTTTTCATTACATTCATCCTCACGCCTCCCTCTTTATTCTCATAAGACACTCCGATGGAATGGCTACAGTACATAGTGAATAGAGAGCACCCCCTGTTACTCGAATATATTATTTACTATTCTCATTTTTGACATATCTCCCGCTTTTTTTTCTCCGTCATTTTCAAGGAGAATCGATTGTTATT